TGCAGGCCAGAAGAGGGCACCAGATTTCATTACAGATGGTTGTGAGCCACCATGTGGTTGCTGGGAATTGAACTCAGGACCTCTGGAAGAACAATCAGAGCTCTAAACCTCTGAGCCATCTCTCCAGCCCCACAAGTCTAAGCTTTTAGCCAAGCATTTAACTAATACTCAGTCTCCATGTTGGTTATTTGGGAACTGGCGGGCAGGCAGAAAAGAAAAGTCTACCTACAAATGGCACCCAATGTGGGACACCTACATCCACATAAAACCTGAGAAAGCTTAAAAAAGGTTCTAAACACACAAAATCAGACCCAAAAAGCAGATTCCTAGTTTCATGTCTCTTGTGCCAGCTGTAGTACATACATGTATCTCTTGGCAGCTACCAACACACCAAGAGCTAAGCCACATGGTGGATTCTGGCAGTCTCTCACACAGGCTGTGGTACAGAGAGGCATCTTCCAGTCACTGCCCGAGGGCTCGAGTAGCCAGCTCGAGCTCTGTTAGCACACTACATGGTGAGTTTGGGGTTTTGCTCATGCAGACAAAAAAGATTATAGATGCTCAGTAAAGACAGACCCAGCTGGTAAAAAAAAAAAAAAAGCCTCTAAATAGGTTACAGTGTGTTTAAAAATGTACAAAGGCTTGGGAGAGAAAAGAGGGTACAGATATTCATAAAAAAATGTAGTTTTAAAATAATAAAGTCCATCAAAAGGAAGTAAAGTGATATAAAAGAAAAAAGTCACATAAAGATGGGAAATGTTATTATGTTGTCTTTAGATTTTTTGACTGCTAATGAACATGCAATAACTGCTAAGAAATACTGAATTAAACAACCTATAGAATTTAAAATTATCTCATCTTCAAATGGCAAATCAAAAGGTATGTTATTTAGGGGAGAAGCTGTGCTTTTATTTCCACAGGAAATGAGAAATTGTGGATTCATTCCAGGCTAAAGATGATCAGGTTTGATTGAGGAAGATCCCCTGAAAATCCTGACTACAGACATAAAGATATAAACCTAAAAAAAAAAACTATAAATTATGTAACATATCTTTTACCCACTAAAACATAAAACAAATGATCATCTTTGGCTAACTGTGTACAACACACAGTCTATACTTGTACTAATACAGATACACATGTTACCTTTAAAAGTCTATGCATTTTCAGAGCAAGGGAACCAGACACCAATGAAAACAGATGGCCCAGGTGATCCAGCCCCTCAGAGTGCCTCTGTTGCAGTTTCCTCAGAGTTCTGCATCCAGAACAGTTTCAAGGCTACTAGCTGAGATGGTCTAACATCATAAACTACTTCAATCAAACTAACAATTATCCTGATTTTCTCAAGGTTCTCCCAAAGATGCCAGTAACCATGGACAACAAGAAGTAGTGTAGAGAACGATACCCATATTTTTAATAGATGGGATATGGACGAGTTTTGGTAATTCAATGGATTATGAATGTTTGTCATTGTTTAGGGAGGTTGGTGATAAGTTATTGGACATGGTCAGAAAAATAGCTAAACAAAGAGTTAAATTCAAAGATCTCTTTCTAAAGGAAAAAAGAGGGATATAATATAGAAATAATAAAAAATGGTAGATTAGTGAATCTACTTTAATTCAAAAAACAACTATTAATCTCAAAATATTTTACATTGTTATGAATTTTGGTTTATTGAAACAAACTTAATCTTGTTATACTCTATATATGTTTCTGTTGTTATTTAGGGTATTGTGCTTATACAACTCATTTAAAAATGTAATGTATAACTTAGAAATACAGGTTAGTAGTTAGTCATCTATAGTAATCAAACTTGTAGTCACATTAGATGTTACCAAGGTCATACTGATATATTTAGACATGATAGATGATCTTTAAACACTTCAAAGACCTACAGAAAGTGGAATTTAATATGTTTAATAACCTAAGGTTTTTCCTGACAATGAGACATGTCTAATCCTGGCAGCACCAATCTACTTCAGAGAAAATGATGGGCATTGAAGAAACTCTGTATGGAGTTTGTTCTCTTTATGGGAAAAGCTAGCCACTTGGACAAGGAAACTGCCCTTGCCTCAAGGATACACACACACACACACACACACACACACACACACACACACACACACAAACAACTTCCAAACTTTCCCAGTCAATGGATAAGGTAGACAGTCCTTCAAAATTTCCTGCTTCCCAAAAATATCTGTCAGATATATTAGGCCCTGTAGGCCAAAGCTGGATGCCCCATTTACAGAACACTGGGTGACTATCCAAGCAGTCAGATGTCCCTGTCGTTAGATAACATTTCACTCTTCTGGGGGTCTTTGATGGAGTTAAAGACTAACTATAGTTTGACTTAGTTATTCCTTAAGTTTTCCTTAGTTATGATTAAAATATAAATTAGGTATAAAACGTAGGTTCACAAAGATAAGATGGATAACAGAGTATTTTCTCTAATTTTGCCAAATACAAATGAACTGGATATTGTAACAGTAATTCTTCATAAGTGTTTCTGTTGTATATAATTTTACTATCTCAAAGTTAAAACCTTCTTTTTTAATTAGACAAAATAGGGGACATGCTGTGGAACAATCTTTATACATTGTAAATATTTATTGCTCTCAGTGTTAATAAAAAGCCGAATGGCCCATAGCTAGGCAGTACTTTTCAGGGCAGAAAGAAGATAAATGTTCGGTGTAGAAAGAAGGTACCACCACGTGGCAGAGGGTAGATAAGAAATATGGGTTAAGTTGTAAGAGTTAGTCTGCAACAAGTCTAAGCTATCAGCCAATCGTTTATAATTAAGTCACCATGACTGCTTTTGGGAACTGGAAGGCAGGAAGGAAAACATCACCCACAGGAAGGCACCATTTCCTCCTGGCCTCAGGAACAGTCACCCTGCCTCTCCTATCGAGAATGGGTGGAGAAGGCAAGGTCCATGTGTGGGCCATGAGCACGTCTGCACTTTCTCTACTCTGGAGGTCCCATTCTCCTGTTCAGTTTACATTTCCAATCATTGCAATCATCCCTTGAAAGGAGAAGCCCAGCTGCTTCACTAATATCAACACTAATTAGCCAACAGAACCTTGTCTAAAATAAACACCACACTCCAATCTTCATCTGAACAAACGAATGTGGCCAGACCAAAACACTTTCCTGGATGAAACACTTATGCTCCAAAGAGCCATGAACACCAACATGTCCTTACACTACAAACCCTAGGTCATTCTCTCTGATCTGGAATTTTTACAACATTTAAACTTTGCAAAACACATAAAACTTATTTTATACAGAAAGCTACACATATAGGAATTAACACTTGTTTCTTCTTTTATTTCAAGACATACTGGTTTGGACGGCCCAAGAATCCGTGCTGCTATCCCTTTGCCTTCATTGGTACTTTCTTCACCGTCCTTTTTCAGAGGCGTTCCCTATTTAAAAAAATGAAGACAGCAGAGACTTTAGACAACAAACAACTACACTGCATTATTCCAAAGAAAGGGCTTACTTGTCAGGGATAAGTGATGGATTCTAGACCCAATCCAGCCCATCTTGCTGCCTGACCTTCTCTTAGCCCTCCTGTGTCACAGAGGCAGAAGGGGGACAGAGAGAAGGATGACGTGTACTCTAACACTTTCTACACGCGCACACGCACACACATGACTTTAATGCCAATGTTTATGACTTAGAAGCTGAAAAAGAAGCCTGGCAACCGAGACCCCATTAAAGGATGCTCTACAGAATAGATCAGAACAGAATATCCTTATATAAGCTTATTCTGTTCTGTTTTATATCAGCCTGCCCTCACAGGCTGTGTCCTTGGGTAGGACACACTGGGAGGGAGACCAGCTTCCAAGATGGTTCTTGCCTCCCACCATCCATCTCAGAATAACTAGGGTTGAATTGCTTCACTAACATGACATTAACGAATGGCACTGACACCCAAAGCCTAAATGGCCTTCCACAGTTGTCCCTGCCTCTGCTTGGTTCAATGCACGGTAGAAACCAGCTACTATGTCATGAGGGTAAAGACTCCTGACGACAAGCAACATTGATTTGCCAGGCATTTAAGTGAGCCTGGAAAGAAAAGAATATCTGTGAGCCAATCAAGCTTTTGGATGAAACCCAGGCCAGAGCTACAGAGCTAAGCCACTCCCAGCTTTCTGAATTATGAACAGCAGGAGCATAATGTGGTGGTTTAGGCAGTGGTGGGTGGGATCTCTATGAATTCCAGGGCAGCCTGGTCTACACAGTAAGCTCCAGGTCAGCCAAGGCTACGGAGTGAGACCATGTCTCTAAATACCAAACCCAAAAACAAAAAAAACAAAAACTATTGGAAAGAATAAATGTTTGCTATCAAATCCATGAAGCTCTGGGGTTGTGACACAGCTAATAGAAATGTAAAAACTTTAGGAAAGGTTATTTTCCAAGGGCTTTGAGGACCACCCTCTGGTGTCCAAACAATATTCTCATAGGGCTTTATCAAGGAGTTTCCTAAAACGGGTTCTCAGATATGCAACCGTCAAAAATCCTGAGAATGCTCAGAAAAGAAAAACCACAATCACCCTTTATCTGGCATGTTCTGAAGACAGGCAACACAATCATTTAATGGCATTTACATGTGAACTGTGGACTATCAGTTAAGTTGAAGACATGAGACTCCATCCTTTGCAGAAGCATCATGAGGTGGCATGTCCTCATATGTAGCACCTAAGTGTACAGATCTGTGCTGCAGTCATACTTAGTCAAGGGAAATTCCATGTAAGTAGAAGTATGCTTACGGGAAAAATGCCATTTATGCGGCTGGGTTTTCCTTTGGGATAGGGGTTTCCTGGGATGGTTCCACATGAAGATATCATGGCGTGAGGGGCTTTGCAGCCCGCTTTGAAAGCCTGCAATGCAAAAAAGAAGATAGTGATTAACAAAACTCAAACCACCGTATCAGGTACTCCAGATAACAGAAGTCTGGCTAAAGTCATGAATTAAGGAGCAGCATGGCATTCACACATTCCCCCATCAGTTACCATGGTGTCCAAAGAGTAGAGTCATTACCATTATCACCATGGTTACACTCCCATCCACCATCACCAGTGCTATAAGCAACAGATTCAAGAAAATCTATATCTAGCAGCAAGGTGTGGTACACACACCTTTAATCCCAGTACCCAGAAGGCAGAGGCAGGCAGGTATCTGTGAATTTGAGGCTAGTCTGGCCTACATAGTGAGTTCCTGTTCCATTTCTTTACTCAACCTTCAAGAAGAAAAGAAAGTTCCAAACTACACAAGCCTGGCTCGTGCTATGAGATTGCTCTGAAAACGTTTACAGTTCAGTTGAAAAACATACAGATAACAGGGGTGTATTGTGAGGGGGGTTCAGTTGTTAAAAAGCTCTTGTTGCTCTTGCAGAGGACCTGTCCCAACATCCATGTTGGGCAGCTCCAGGTGATCTGGCACCCTCTTCTGGCCTTCACAGGCATCCACATGCACATACCCCCACACAAAAATAAGAATAAAACAAAGCATCTTTAAAAGCTTAAAAAACAACCCCAAAGAGCCAGACTACTGGAAAAGCAAGAGTGACTTATTACAGCGTTCAGTTGTGAGACACAGGGAATGGGGTTAGGTCTACGGTGTTTACACTGCGTCCTCCACTTCTAAAATGGTGTCTTAGGCACTGAGCTGGAGTTGGGCTTTGTAAGGCTAGTCCACTCCAGCGGATGCATACTGCATTATAGGAATAAAAGATAATGTGCAGTATACATAAAACAGTCATACGCATATCAAAGAACTTATAGGAAAGCTGTTTGTATTTGTAATTATTTTTATAAATCCCCCCACACATTAATTGCATAATCCAGCCTCTAACCTTAAAACACCTCCAACCCCTCAATCTTAGGAAAAGAAAATCACTTCAACTTGATCATAATAAGTTGCACTAGGCAAATACCCTGACCTATAAACTTGTATATTTCCTTAGGACAAATTAACAGTAGACTTTGTTCATTTACATTAACGGCGGTCCATTCTACAGAGCACATGGTCCCAGAACAGTTCTGACCCAGAGTTACGCAGAGAATACACCAGAGGGAACAAAACTACAACTATATTTATCACAGCCCTAAGATTTTTGTCAAGAAAACCGGGGAGAAGGCTGTTTAAGAGATGTGAATGAGGCTCATCTCATCAGGGAAACAAGGAGGGAGGCAGAGCTGCCCTTCCTGAACGCGGGAGGCTTTAAAGATCACATAGGCGAACAGCAGGGCCCAGAGAGCGGAGCCCAAGCAGCTCCTTCAGGGGAGGCAGCATGACCTCAGGAATCTGCAACAGCGAATGGCAAGTCCAGGTTCAGCGCTCGGGTAGATACTCTGCCCGTTTTACGGACATGGAGCGTGAATTCTGTATTCACTGCCATGAATTTGATTACTGCAAGACTGCCGATAACACAATGTGAAGTCATTGTTCTTGCGCAGCGCTCCGCAGAGGGAAGACGTGAACCGCCACTAGGTTTTCACTCCCAGTGATCTTTGCCCCCACCAGCTTTTGTTACAAGGCCCTGTTTGTGCCCCTCGCTGACCAGAATGTCTATGTCTATGTTTGGACCCCGCACTGCCACCATGAGGCAGGTGCTTCATGTCCACCGACACCCAGCTCCAGCCAGGCAACGGCACAGCAGCTGGGAGGAGTACCTGCTCCAGGACTCTCTTGCACCGTTTCTTCTCCGACATGTTGATCCTGAACAAATCTTCAATGGGGCGCGAGTTCTGTGCATCCACGATGTTTCTGCCAAGGAAACATGACTTGGCTTCTGTCACAAATGTCTTTAAAACATGTTTTGTGTTTGTGGACATAGCAACACATCCCGAACTATAGACTACATTGCCTATGAATAAGCAACTGAACCCCCCTCCCAAACTTTGCAGAGGGTTCCTTCTCCTCAACCTCATGCTCACATAAGGTTCTCAAAGGTCAAGTGCAGAGCACTGCACAGCCCACATCACTCCATCACTTGGGTAATCGCAGGCTCTGAGGTTACAGGTGCCCTGCTCCATAGACATCCTGCATTTTCATCAGCTTGCCTTTCGAGTTACTCAGGACGGGAAGTAGGTGAAGCACATGCTGACATGCAGGGGTGTGAGGCAGCCTTTCGACTGTGAACCTCGAGCACAGATGTAGGAAGGACCCGTTACTCTGGGAGCCATGTCCACATCTGTAGAAAGCACAGGGCTCTTGACTATGTAAAGATACCAGAACCCAGTACCGTGCTTTCCCAGGATGTGGGCATTTTTGTTTGTGTTGTTAGGAGACGGGTTCTTACTGTCTTACTCAGGGTCCCCTGCCTCAGAATCTGAGGCTCTGAGGTGACAGATGTGTGCTGTCACACCAGCTGTTCCCATGGATTATGTCACTAGAGCGCGGCTTCCTCCGTGATTGACACATTGACACAGATCATTTTTCACACTATCTCATTAGCACTCTGCTGCCTCGTGTGACTGTCACACCGACACAGAGCAGGGACCTCAAAAGGCAGGCAAGCTTCTGGGTCTGAGCGGGTGGTAAAAGAGGTACTCACGAGGCCAAGAGCTCCAGAGCGGCCAGCTTGTCTTTACTAAAGGTGAAGCAGCTGAGGATGCTGACCACTTCCGCTGGGTGGACGGCCACCATTTTCTATGAGAAAAATAACGTTTCAATATCAGACTTCTGTGCCCAACCCTACCTGCTTTGGAGAACTATAATTAAATTGTTAGTATAAGCATTTCAGGACACATCCTACCTCTTAGCTGAGAGGAACACAAGCAAGAGGTAAGCCCCAGCAACTCAAGGGAACCCTAGAAATACTGAGTTAAACTTGGGCTTTTTAAATTATAACCATTTCAGAAGCAGGTCGACGTTCTACGTGTGTCTTAGATCTGTTTCCCAATGTGCTCGCCTGCAACAAGCCTAAGTTCCTCTGAATGGCCACCGACAGAGCTGGCATTTACACAGGGAACTCAACTCATCATGCAAGGCACAAGAGTCACAGTCAGGGGAAGGACTGAGCTTCAACTTTCCCGATGACAGGGCCTCCTTTAGCCTACAGTGATTCATGGCGGCAGACACTGCAGAACCTGAATCCGAAGGGTCTAAAACCCAGGACTCTGCTTTGCAATGAGCATATGCCCTCAGTTTGCCAATTAGGACTGGATTTAACAGTAGCACAGTGCAATTTCATACCCTGGAAGGCTTTCACTTTTTAACATAGTACCAAAGTATAATGGGATTTGACCTAGCTTTTCTGATACAAACCACAGCTTGCTCTGGCTCATGCAGACAGGGGAACGACACAGTGTTACTCTGCACATGGTGAGAAGGGAGACTCACATGCTGGAGCGCTTTCATGGCCTTCAGCTGCGGTTCTGCCCAGGAGAAGTACCTGAGGAGGTCAACCACCTGCAAACAGAGAGACACTTCAGCTCCGATGACAGTGTCTGCACACGCTTCTCTAAGACAGATCTCAGCACTTGGAATCCCCATTGCCGTGTGTAGATGATGAGTCTAACGGTGTGGCAAACTTCAGCCACTTTATAAAACTTAAAACCTCAGTCCCACAGCAGCACAGGCCTCAGGTCAAGTGCTCCAGAGCCACATGAAGCCTACAGCCTCCACAAAGGACAATGTGGATAAAAGTGTTTCTGCCATCACAGAACCTAGTGGACAGCGCTGGTCTAGGAAGAAAGAAAAATATACAGGACTGGCAAGATGGCTCCGCGGCTAAAGGGATTACCATAAAGACTGATGACCTAGTTGGGATGCCTGGGACCCATGGGTGGGAAAGAAAGGATGCCCACAATCTGTTCTCACATCACCACATGAATGCAATGGCTTGCCCTGCCTACTCTCCACAATAAATGTTTTTCCTCTTTCTCTCTCTCTTTTCTAAGAAAGGAGACACACAATTTAGAGTTGGCCTGGTGGTGCATGACTGTTAACACCAGGAGTCTCAAGAAAATGAGCTGGGATGTAGCTCAGAGGAGGGGGCACTTTCTCAGCATGTGCAAGGTCCTGGGGCTTAATCTTCAGTATCACAAAAAAAATAAATTATTAAAAGATAATGAAGAAATCCAGGAAACAGTGTATACTGAGAGAAGAGGGGGTCAAAAAGTTGGGTGGAGATGGACCGCCACTCTGGTGATGTGAAACAGAACAAACGGGAAACCACACAGCACCGGTGGCAGCTCAGGTCATTCACCGGGGTGTGTGGTGCTGAATGAAGGCCTGCAGGTCTACTTCTGCCCTTGGGTCTGAATCCGCAGAGCACACAACAGTGGTCAGGCATGGATCTAGCTCAGTATTACACTATGAGAGAAAGGATCTTAGGGGCTCCTACCACCACCCAATGAAGCCTCAAAGCAAGGGTGAATACTGCGTGATGCCAGTCAGGAGTGAGCAGGGCATCCAGAGTCCCTGACCCTGGGCCACTGTCCTGAAAGAGAACCTCAAAAGACAGCATGAAGGAACAGAACAGTCTGTTGGCCACGTAGCAAACAGTTCAGCGTTTATTCATGTCTTCTTTGGCCATACAGTGAACTTCAAAACTGTTAAAAATACCATACAAATTTAGTAAAATTTACAAATTCATAACGTCAAAAGTTTTACTAAAGATTATGATTCATGTGTATGAGTATTTTGCCTGCACATATGTATGTGCATCACACATGAACTTGGTGCTCCAGGAGTTCAGAAGGCATCAGATGCCTTGGAATGGGAGTTTTGGAGGGTTGTGAGTCACTATGTGGGTGCTGAGACAAACCTGGGTTCTCTGCAAGAGCAGAGAGTGCTCTTAACCACCCAGTCATCTCAAGCCCCGAGTTCATGAACTTTTGATATTTTCCCCAGAACAACTGACAGTTTAAGTTGTTTCTTAAAAAGTCAGTGTGTTTTCAGATGGACATATATAGAGTAGGGACTGTGGCGTGAGTGTAAAGCCTTCTGCGAGATCTAAGAGCTTCTAAAGCTCCAGAGCAAAGAAGGCCACAAACTCAATGCAATTCTGAATGCATCCAATAGGTAAACAGACGTTAACCACAACACTTGTATAAAAAGGCTTTGAAAAAAATGACAAATACCTGTTCACTGGAGAAGTACCCATGAACATATTCAATTGCTTTTAATTTATATTCTGTCAAAACAGCCTAGAAAAGGGGAAAAAAGAATTAATACATATCAGCAGCATGGTAATAAGCAGTTACTCAAATTACATAACCCCCCTACTCAACCTGACAGGGCTAGTCTCATTCAGTTCTGGCTGGGAGCAGAAGCAACTCAGGCAACCTTTTAAACCTGCTGGGTCTCCACAAACACATGCACAAAAGAAATAACATTGTAATACAGTCAACATGAATAGAAATGATGTATCAATTCCTGAATGTCTAATTAGTTTCAAAATATCTCTAATTGATACAAATTGCCATTCCTTTGCCTTTTTCTTCTTTCTTCCAAGAGAGGTCTCACTACATCGACCAAGATGACCTGGGACTACCATTGTGGCCTCAACAGGCACCTTACAGCTTGCTTCCTCATTCATAAAGGGGAATCCTGTAGTGAAGTCCTAGTAATCAGAGATCTGACACAAACAGAAGTTTCATTAATGGCTTCTTTCCTCTCTAGAGCCTCTGACCTGGCATACTATTTAGAGCTAACGGACGTCACTCTCAGAGATGGTAGACCAAGCAAACCACCCTAGCCTGCAAGTCACTCATCACAAAATACGAACCAGTCATTTCCTCCTCACCGCAAAGGAGCTACAATATTTGTATTTTTCATTCTACTAGTATCTAGGATCATTCTACTTGCAGCAAATGCAATGACCAGTCAAAACATTCAGGGTGCTCAACAGTTTAATCTTTACAGTGCATTCTGGGCAATGCACTCTGAGGCGTGTGATCATCACCATTACAGAGCCAATCAAAAGCAAGGTTCAGGATCAAATCCTGGCTTGAGTTGATGACATCAATCACATCTCAGATCTTCTCCCAGTGATGGGGAGGTCCAGCAGTGGGTCCACACCCAGGGTATGGAGCTCAGGGTTACGGGGCCTTCACGCCAGACTCCCAGGTGAGCATTAGCTACTGAAGGAGACTGAACTTGGGAATACACCGGTCCATCACCAAACTCCACAGATGGGGAAGCTGAAGTCAAACAGGAAGGGCTCCAATTCATAGCTCTTATTAATCACATTTTGAAAAAAATGCCTCTCCAGCATGTTTTGTTTTAAGACCAGTGTGGAATTACAGGCTGCGATAGATGAGCAGACTTTCATCTCCGGAACCTTCCCGAGTCCCTCAGTGACATTTATTACTAGACATTTTCACAAGGCTGAGAAGGGGCAGGATATACACACGGATTGTCTGCGTTCTTCCAAAGCAAAAGTCTCCATTCTCGTCTACCTTACCTTGAAATTTATCATCTCACAAAAGTGATTAAAAATCAGTTTAGAAGCCAAGTGTGGCAAATTCTAAGCAGACGGTAAGATGACATTTTGCTTCAAATTTTAATTAGAGGAGGGGAATCTACAAGAGCAGAAGTCTATGTGAAAAGAAAAAGAACAGCATCATTAAATATGAAAGATTAACCCTGTTAATTTGAAAAGGAGCAAGGGAGAACTACAGGTCTGGCAGCAACCTTCGCGGTGAGCCTTGTAAGTTGACATAAATAAGGACAGCAATGAATGGAAACGACTCTTCCAGTACCAGTCAGGGGGACCGGTTTGAGATGCCAACTGAGGCGTGACAGCCCAGTGCCAGCTCTACTGTGGTGGCTATATTTTGCAAGACTCAACACTACACTCCAAATTTGCCGTGTGGTTCATATTAGGAGAAAGGAAATATAAAACAATCTCAAAAAGCAGAAGGAAAAAAAAAAAGCCCAGGCAGGGAATAAATTCTGCTTAGCTTGAGATTTGAAAAGCAACTTTCTAGGTATTACTTATTGCTTCCAGTGTCGAGTCTTTCCTGTTACTGGGACATGGAAACATTGAACCAAATGTTATTTAACCAAAAGGTCTGAGTTAGGAAGGTTTTACATTGGCTCCAGAACTGTGGGCAGCCCAAACGTAATTCCCGTACCAACCACACACAATGATTTCTCAAGTTGAGCAGTCAGGTGGCTTATCTTCTATTTGAACCGTGCAATCTACCAAGATCACACAGGACAGTCAAGTACCTTTGGCGATGCGATGACTCTTACAATGCACTATCATCTACACTTACCATCTCAGAGAAAGTAACTCACAATTATCTCAGAAGATTTTTAGGGCTCAAAGTAGTTACCTTTCGAATTTCATCCAGCACCGTTTCAAAGGACTTTTTGTCCATCTTGAGTACTATTCCGACGTGCTTTCTCACAGTTCTGCTTGCAATTACGAAACGTTCATCCCAGGTCCGCCCCGCGGATAATACACCGGGAGGAAAAAGGAGGCGAGGAGGTAGAGAGTATTGCAAACTGCACCGAAACAAAACAAAAATCCCCAAACGGAAACTTAGGAAAAGTTTTTATTTAAAACCAGACTTCAGTAGGTTCTTCGCACAAAGCTTGAGCAGCTCAGATCAGAATGGGCTGGGGCGTCTGCAGAGACTGGCGCTCCAGAGGGCGCCGAGGGCCGGGCGCTCCGAGGGAAGGCCGCCGCGTCACGCGCCGCTCACCGCCGCGAAGGTGCTCGGTCCCGCCACTCAGCCCGACCCCAGAGTCCCGCAGCTCTCGCAGCCGGCAGCCCTGCAGGTTCTTTGTTACTCGTTTTCGTAGCTTCCGGGAGCGGGTCGGCGGTCGGGGAGCCCTAGGAGACGGGCGATCGGGGGACACAGCCCAGTGCAGGGAGACCCTCGAACACCGCAGCGCGCACACGGCCAAACGCCCCGCAGGAGCACCCCTAAACGCCCCCACCAACTCCAGGGGACCTTCGAGAGAAGGCGTCGCGCCGATAAGACGCAATCGTGCACCGCCAGCACAAGTCGCTAAGGCCCAAAAAACAGTAACGGGGGCGGGGGGTGAATGGGTAGGGGGTCCTAGTGTGGGAATATAGGTATCCATAGTAGACGCCTGAATGCTTCTGAAACGGATGTGCCTGAAGTCCTTTCCAGAGGTTCGTAGACATTGTTTTAGCGCCATAGTCCCCTTAGTCTTGAGTTTTGTGGTGTTACATTCTGATTCTTGAATGTGAATCTAGAAGAGTGGACTGTAAACGGGTCAGGAAGATCTGCGGGCGCCACCATGCTGGCGGCTGGAAGAAGCCCGGGGCCAGGAGCGCCGCCGAGCGGGGAAGCTTGGTCGCTGGGTCACACGGTGGGCACCTGACTCGGAGGCGGGGGCGGAGGCGGGGAAAGGAGGAGCCGGAAACCCGGAATTTAGAAGTTTCTCTGCTCTAGTTTTCCGGAGCTTTAGACTGACGACCGCCCCAGACGCCGCTTCAGTCCCCGCCGACCATTCGCCTCCAGGACCCGCAGGATGGCGAGAGCCTGGGTCTGCGTGGGAGGCGCCGTCTTCTTTCTCTCCTGTCTGGTTTTGCACTGGCGGTTCAGTGACCCTCTGGTGAATAGCGGGGATGAGGCTGTCGGTTGTGGGTGACCCGAGGGGTGCAACCCCAGAGGCTCAGCTGCTGGCGAATTTTTTAGTGCTAAAAAGTATGCGTTTCGGGCCTGGGGAGGAGTCGCGGAGGTTGAGAGCTCTTGCACAGGACTAGGGATCGATTCCCACCACCAACATGACTGCTTACTCCCCCACTGTCACTCCAGATCCAGGGGACCTGATGCCCTTTCTGGTCTTTGTGAGCGCTTGGTGCACATAAAATATTTCGGGCTCACACAATACGTCGAAATAAAAATAAACATATCCTTTTAAAGTACATGTACATACTGGATTTTTTTTTCTCCCAGCTCTTACTACACTCTAGAGCAATTTACAAACCTTTTATTGTGGTTGTTATGATATTTAGACATCAAAACCTGTTTATCTGGAATTATTCTGGCTACCTTCTGGCTGTCAAGGCAAGCTGTAAAGATAAGAGAAACACACATATAGACTGTTTTGGTTTTTAACCTGGAAGGTAAACTGAATCTGAGGTTTATTTTATTTTATTTGAGGTTTCAAGGACAATTGCTTTTTACGTACCCTGGAGAAAGGAGGATTCTCTTTTCCGGCTGGATTTGAGTTGGCCCAAGTATTCGGAGTATTTCACTGGTTCGACATTTTCTGTTGCAGTTGACTCCATCAACGGGTTAGTGTATGTAGCTCAAGTAAGTGGAATGAATATTTATTATATGCGAGCCCGTGAGATCAGAGTGTGAATGTGGAGATCTGAGGACACCTTTTGGGATTTGGTTCTCTCCTCCTACGAAGGGGTTCGGGGATGGAACTCGGGTTGTCAAGCTTGCTCAGAGAACATTCCTATCTTCTTAGCAATCTCCCATATTCAGTTTGATCGTAACAGAAAAGAAAGAAGAACATTCAACCTGAACATTAAAAAAAAAAAAAAACCAGGAAGGGAAGAAATGATTTACCACCCTTGATGGCCAATTGCATTAATTTTTATATTTATTATGTTATATTATGCTAATTGTGCGACAATCTTGAGTTGGCTTCAAGCACACATTTTTGATTTGTATGTGATGTTATTGTTAAGTGTTGAAGCTAGCTTTTTACCCATTGCTAGGTTTCTCAGTTATCCTTTAATTTTGATTTTTCTCAGACAAAAGTAAAGATTAGCATTCCTCTTAAGTGATTCTAAGCAGTTATTTTTGTATGCCTTCAGAGAGGGGATAACATCCCCAAGGTATTAGTGTTCACAGAGGATGGATATTTCCTTCGAGCCTGGAATTATACAGTTGACACACCCCATGGTATATTTGTCACCGGCACACCGTATGAACAGTCCGTCTGGATCACGGACGTAGGAAGTGGTATGTGTAGCATTGTCTATTAAATTGCTTTTCCTGGTGGAAGTCAGATCTTTGCCCATGTTCTTGCTTGTTCGTTTTAAGGCTAGCATTGCTGAATCTAATCATACTTTCTTTAATATTTTCGCAAAATCATTTGTTATACCATATTTCTGTTGAATCAAGGGATTCAATGATGCTGTAATCATGATCTTTTAAGCTTGTCAAGGGACTGTGTGTGGGGGTGGGGTGGGGGGAGGTGTAGGCCAGAGTGTCTGTTCCTCAGGGCCATCAACCTTGTCTTTTGAAACAAGATTGTTCACTGGCCTGGAACTCACAAGCAGTCTGGGGTACCCCGGCCAGTGAGCCCCTGGCAGCTTCCTTTCTCCTATCTCAATGCTGATTACAGTGCACACATGCATCCTCAGTGGGGTTTTAGTCCTCCACCCCCCCACCCCCATATGTGGGTTCTAGGTATGGAACCCAGGTCCTTGTGCTTGAGTGACAAGCATTTTCCTGGTAAACTGAACTCTCTCTCTCTTCCCCTTCCCCCTCCCCCCGCATCCCAGTTCAGGATCTTTCTCCTTTGACCCTTCAGTTGCTCTTCTTGGACTAACCCTAACCTCTGTAAAGTCAAATCAGATGTCAGTATTTTAAACGAAATCCGTGGCCTCTTAACTCCCATTTATACCAGTTGTCTTTTGAGAGGATGAAGGGACAAGAACCCACAATTTGCTGCCCAGAGAGAAAAGGTTAGCAGAAACTGGTGTTAACAGCTCTGAAATTCCGTTGCCTTAAGCATGTCTGAAACCTTCCTACCATCCCATGCCTTTAGTAGGCAGTGCTGAAACACAGAGTAGACTCTGGCTTCTCAGAGGCTGTGCTCCACCTGTGCCGCTGGTGCGTCCTAGCAACACCAGAGCCAGTTCCTACTGCCTGGACAGGCCAACAGGAGTAGGGTCATCAGCGGGGGTGTTGCAAGTGTCTGTTGGTCTGCTTATGTCCCTGGCTTGAAGGGCATCCTGCTTCCCCAGCGTTTGATAATTCACATACCACTCTTTAGAACCAGTAAGGCCTAAGTTTCTGTGAGGACAGCTGTTGTCACTCTTCACAGGGTGCAGAAGCTGTCTGGGCTCCAGGTAGTGAGCAGGTGGTCCGTTAGCGAGCGGTTCATTAGCGAGCGGTCCATTAGGGAGCCAGCGCTCTGTTCGTTTAGTCTTTGTTTTGGGAGGTAAACGTTGGTCCGGCAGCTCAAGACTGGCAGCCGCAGCCTTTTCCTTCTGCCCCCTTTCTGAGTCTTCAGAAAGCATCACTTTTCCTCTCTCTTCCTCTCATCTCTTTTTTCCTCCTTTCGGACGCTTGCCAAAGCCGGGGCATGCGTCTCTGAACACTTGCATCCTGCTCTACCATGCGGCTGCTTACAAGCTGCATGGCTTCCTCAGTTCCCCATCTTCACCTTGCTCTCCTAGGCCGCTGCGAGATTTACGTCTTGGCTTCCCAGGAGCTTTTCATTTAAGTCCTAGTAAAACGGGCCTTGAATTTGTAAGTAGATCCAGGAGCAGGAGAGATGCGCAGTGGCTTAGAGCTCTTGTTCTTCCAGGGGACCTGGGTGCAGTTCCCAGCACCCACACAGCAGCTCACAGCCATCTGTAACTCCAGTTATGGGGAGCAGATGCCCTCATCTGGCCTCTCTAGGCCCTGTACCCATACATACATACATACAGGGAAACACTCACCTACAGAAAATAAAGTAAAATAAACTATTTATATAAAAAAACTCTTGGAAGTATATCTGAGTTTATGCAGTACTGTAGTGAAATTTGACTGTTTTCTCCTCTGTCCCCAGAGGTCACTTGAAAGACCCTTATTTTTAATTTACTCTGATCATGCCATCCTCTAAAAAGAAGAAAACCTCCCTGGTTCCCAGAGGTAAACGTGGCTCGGATGATCCCATTCTTTCCACTGTGTCCTGTTTTCTACCTCACGGCCGAGAAACTCTTTATGTTCTTCCCATTTTCCAAATGAATTGATTTCTTCAAATGAAGATTTGGCTGCAAGTCAACCACTTAAAAAATTTTAAGTCCTCTGCCTTTCCGAGTCTTCAGAAACCTTGAGCTGTGCTTTCTCTGATATGTCGTGCTCTCTGTGGCTAAAACCTCAGCCCAGGCGTTCAGATCCAGTGCAGTGGTCAGGTGGTTCTCCGGGTAGACTGGTAATGTGGGCTCACTCGCTTGCCTTCTGGAAGCTCCGTGCGTCAGATCAGTAGTCATGGGTGCCAGTTGGCTACTTCCGCCTCCTGTGCCTTCACCCTGGCCTCTGCCAAACTGCCACATGCCTCCTTACTTGCTCTTATTTACTTTACTCTTTAACTTGTATGGTTATTTTAGCGCCAAGATGATTTTTCTCTCAAGAAGTGATCAATTTCGAATTTGTTTCTGCTAGGAGAAAAATGTATTTTTTTTTTTAAATCTGTGTTGTTTTATAGAGAATTTTTCTTGTTGACTTCTGAACATTTAAAACTTGTACATGGATGATTGAAATAACAGCTTTGACTGTAAGTTGCTTGTTTTTTACTTCCTTCTGGATTTATTTTGCAAGCAGTGTGTTTTAAAGGGGAACCGTGCACAGATTGTTCTAAGCTTTCTGTGTAACGAGCCAGCGTTTTTGCTGTAGTCCTTTGTGGTTGCAGTCTCCTGAATTTGGAGTGATCGGATACTAACTCATCGGCAGGTTTGCTCAGACCTTAGGACGGGCTGCTTGCTGTCACCTGTTGTGTTCACGTGTGCGTGCAAGTCCGTTGGCTTCTGTAGCCGTTCCAGCCCAGTGACAGATTTGCCTTTAGCTTACAGAAGAGGATGTGCACGCTGTGCGGTGTCTCTAAACGTGCTTGTCCATCTCTACAGGATCCTATGGCCACACGGTTAAGAAGTATAATTCCCTGGGTGATCTTGTTCAAGTCCTGGGTACCCCAGGCAAGAAGGGCACGGGCTTGAACCCGCTGCAGTTTGACAACCCTGCAGAGTTATATGTAGACGACACGGGAGAGATTTACATTGTGGATGGAGACGGGGGATTGAATAACAGACTAGTCAAACTGTCCCAAGGTAAATCTTTAACTTGCTGTGATCATAAGGATATTATTTTATAACAGAATCTGATTTGTTTGCTGCTTGGCATAATGTAGCCATATTGCACATGAAGCTGTGTAAAAGGCTCAATACGAGGAAAACAGACGGGTGGGATTGCCAACAGCAAATGATTCTCTCATGGGTCTGCATGTCCACCAGGGCCAGGAGACGCCTCCCAGGGACTGGAGGTGGTGTGAGAATTTAAAGGACTTCTGAGGATCTCTTGTCCTGCATACACTGGGGAACCAGGAAGCTGGGTCCCTGCCAGGCTTCCTGCAGCTGTGACAGGGTGACTTTGCCCTCCTCACTGTGTGTCCTCTTTGTGTGCCTGATTCTCATATCTCCCTCTTACAAGAACTTCATTACAGCCTTAAAACTCTGCAGCCAAAGGCCACGTTCTCGGGTGTGCTGTGTCAGGAGTGAACTAGTCTTTTCAGGGAAAGAGTTCTGTACATAGACTGTGACTCCTTCCAGAGACAAGAGGGAGACTATAGAAATCTAACAGAGGGCATGATGGCACCCATCTGTAATTCCTGCACTCCAGAGACTGAGGCAGGAGGATTGCTAGGAGTTTGAGGCAAGCCTGAAGTACATAGTACAAAGCCAACCAGGACTACATAATATAATTGTCTCAGGACAAGAAAAAGAAATTTGAACAAAAGTGAACTTTTTGTACATGGGGAGCTAGTTTGAAGCAACCAATGCAGGAATTCTGAGCAGTGCTTTAGAAGAAGTAGGAACAGCTCAGGCAGAGATAATGGAGCAGTGGATTGTTGGAAGGATCTCGTGAGCTAGACAGATCCAGACAGGACTAGGAGACAATACTCGGGTCCTCGGTGTGTAGTGTTTTTTTTTTTTTTTTTTTTTTTTGTAGTTTGTGAGACAAAATTAATTTAAAATTGTGTAAATGCATAAGGCATTCTATGTGTTCATTGCTTGTGTGTATTTACCATTTATAGATTTCATGATCCTCTGGCTGCGTGGAGAGAGTGGAGCAGGGCCTGCGCAGTTCAGCATACCTCACAGTGTCACACTTGACGCGGTCGGGCGGGTAAACACAGCCTCCTTGTGTTTGGAACAGCATGCGTGTGGGTGGGTGGGCGTGTCTTGATGTGTGTGTCTGGGTGGGTGGACTTGCGTATTAGGCGATGTTTCTATTTCATTTCTATTGCTGTGATAAACAAACAAACAAACTTGATGGAAAGCCAGGTAGGGAGAAAGTGGTCAAGGCAGGAACTTCAGAGTCTCTGCTGTGCAGTCAGCACAGAGAGGAATGAGTGTCCAGGCACACTCACATAGACACTTACATAGGCCCGTGCTGCCTTGCTCACACTCATGCATTATTACACAGCTCAGCACCCCCTGCCTAGGGAATGATGCCACCCACATAAGCTGAGGGTTCCCATGTCTATTAAAGCAGCCAAGACAGTCCCCTTCAGACGTTACCACAGGCCAACCTGCTGTAGGTTTTGCTTGTTGAGTGCTCTGTTCCCCGGCCGTCCTAGGTTATACCAAGTGACAGTTAAAGCGAGCCACAGTAGGCGCGTCTAGGCAATTTCTCCAGAGCTGGCTGTGCACACTTGCTCTCAAGTGTGAGATGTGTGAGCTCTATTCTGAGGAAGTTCTCCAAATACTTAGAAATTCGCAAACTAGATAAGTCTGTAGTCTTTCAGGGACAAGAGGGACAGGTAATGAATCCAAAACCAGAAAAGAACTTTGCCTTCTGCTAGGAAAACCGTACTGTAAGTGTTTGAGCTGTCTCTAGTTCACAAGGGGGGGAAGGCCGCCCTGATGGCAGCGGGCAGATGAGTGCCAGAGGCTTATCCTCTCCATGACTCCTGTCCTTTCTCTCCCAGCTTCCCCGCCTCAGCTACTACCCCCCACCTCCAGCTTTGCCCCTTGACATCCTGGGGTTACCTTCCACCAGGCACGTCTCCGTCAGCCGTGTTTCCCGCGATAGCTGTTCTCTGCCACACAGCGCGCTGTTGCATAGCTGCTCCTCTATAGATTGAGGCTTCTGGTGGGCACGGCTAGTCCTAAGGGGTCATACCTGTGGTATTAAGTAAATGTTTTGATGCACAGTGCTGTGTCAGCCTGCCTTTATTGATGCAAGCCCTATTTATAATAATAATAATATTGTTATTATTATTAAATTCCACTTTGCCAAGCATGAGAAATCTGATACAGTCAAATTCACCATGATGAGGAAGGTTTTTAGGGGCTAGCAAGATCTTCTGGAGGAACAGCCTGAGATTGCTGAGGGGTGACAAATGACAGCCCTTTCCCTACATCCCTGTGGATCATTGCCCCAGCTGTCGGGTTCTACATGCCAGGAGAGCACCCTGCTAGGGCCCTGCGCCCTCGCCCTGCACCTGGTGTTTTATGACAGTGGATATGACTCATTCCATCACCGTCATAGCCTCTCACTGTGGAGTGAATTAACTCCACAGTTAAGGACTTCCTCTTTCAGACAGACTTTCTTTTGATCAAATGTGCTCTGAGAAAGAAAGAAAATAATCTGGAATGTCCTTCAGTCCTGGGACGTGACTGTTCCTTCCGTGGTCATCTGTCTGAGGCAGTAATGCCTGATCCCTGAGCAAACCCATCTCGGATCAGGAGGAAGCTAGAACTGTCCACCTGCCTGGGCACCAGCCTCTCACTGTCCTGTGTCTGTGTCTGTTTGAGAGGCAATCAGTGGCTTCCAAAATTAGTACACACCAATGGAGATAAAGCCAAGGTCTCCCTGAGCTACACAGACCCAGGAAATCTGAAGGATCTGCCAAGGGTGTGGTCTGTGCTGTAAGGTGAACTTAGAATTGTATAACTCGGGGAGTTCCATAAATGCTATTGAGAACAAACCTGAGCCTCCTGTTTTATTACAGGAGTGTCTTAGTAACTCATTACAGTCTATAAAACCCGATATCAAACCCATCATGTTTTATGTGTTGCTATCACACCCAAGCTTCCTCCTCTTCGGTGACTGTACTTTGACCCATCCCAGGAGTCCCAGGTAGAGGTTTAGAGATTGCACTGGGAGAGTAACAAGACTGCTTTTCTGTGTCTTGTGACCTGGCTTAGGAGCCGGCTCAGTTGTGCAGTGGTGGTGATGTGTGTTAGAGGGGTGGGTGAGTCTGCCCCCGTCAGTGTCTCTGGTCTGCTACACAGTGGCGGAGGACTCGGGATTTTAGGTACTTGCATGTTTAGTGTGGTTGATGGTGCTGTGGGCGGAGAGAGACACGCGGTAGACTATAGCATTCACGTTTGTTAGTGCGTTTCAGACAAGGTGTTTAACCCTCCTGATATGGAGGCTAGAGATGCCATCTTTAGGGCCCTGTAAATGCTAACGGAGGCAATGGTGTGGAGCTAATGATAGTCATGTTTCTTCTCATGTTGTGGGACTCTCCCAGCTGACGTAATTTTGATTTCACAGGTGTGGGTTGCTGACCGAGGAAATAAAAGACTCCAAGTATTTGATAAAGACACTGGAGAGTGGTTAGGAGCGTGGGACAGCTGTTTCACGGAGGAGGGGCCTTCGGCTGTTAGGTAACCATTGCTGTTTGTTTGAAATGCTCATTCTGGCTGGTTGTGTGACCCCCCAGCTTCTAAAGAGCAACTGAAAGTCTCAGGTGTTTATTGTTAAGTTTAAGCAGGGAAAATGGAAGGAAATAAGTTTCCAAAGAATAGTCCGAGGCTTTCTTGGCCTCTGGGAGATTTCCGCTCACAGAAGGAAGCCCAAAGCTTGGGTCCACACTGTTGACCTCCCGAGCTTCTCGTCCTCCATTTGCTATGCCGAGCCTGTCTTAATGCAGGCAGGCATTTAGTTTCCTCTGCTATCCCAGACTTCCATGCGGTTTTGAATTCCTAGAATCCTTCAGGCAGTGATTCTCTGTTGCTGCAGCATGCCCATTTGCAGAGGACGCAAGCATTGAAAGAATGATCGTAATAATTGAATTCTCCTTCCTCCTAGGTTCACCCCGGATGGGAAGTACTTGATTGTGGCCCAGCTGAACCTCAGCAGGCTGTCAGTTCTGACGGCCCCACCATCTGGAGGCATTGGCGACTGTTCTGTGATCAGCAGCATCCAGCTGGCTGATCAGGTTCTGCCCCATCTTGTAGAAGTTGACAAAAAGACCGGAGCCGTTTATGTAGCAGAAATTGGTGCAAAGCAAGTGCAGAAATACGTGCCGGGGCCCAGCCCTACTCCCGCCGTCGGGCCTTAGGGCTGCCCTGCTGGAGGAGCTGCAAGGAGCAGCGCAGAGCCCCGGAGTCATTGTGTTTCAAGCCGCCGAGGCACAGGGCCATTGGTACCTCTTCCACCAGAGAAGTGTGTTGGGATGTCATTAAGAGTCATGTCATGTTGAGGTTCCTGGGACTTAGTTTTACAACTAAGAGTTTTTTGTTTCTTTTTTTCTTTTCATTTTTGAGAGTCATGGATGTTGAACTCAGGGCCTCATGCACGCTAGGCTGCTGCCCTAGCACTGAGCTGCATCTTCACGTAAGCAGCTTTTAAAGAAAGAAATGCAATCCCAAAATGGGGTTGTGAAGGGGAACTGTGATTGCAACCAAGTTACATGTACAGGCTGATTAACTCCCCGGGCTCCTAGGACAGCCTGTTGATTTCGTGTGAAGAACTGGAAACTACTGGTGTGTTTAACATCTGTAAAATGGCCTGTGAGAGATGTGGATGAGCTGGCTGTGGAGCAGTCTGGTGCATGCACAGTGCCACACCAGGTCCAGAGCATGCTGGAGTGAGGAGCAGCATGGTCTGTCTTGCAGTCCAGCAGGGACAGAGTGGGCATGGTGACGCAGGAGCAAGAGGACCACGACAGACAGGACAGCCGTGCAGGGTGCATGTGTGAAAACTGCAGGCAGTGACAGCTTGGCCTCAGATTAGCCAAGAGATGAGTGAGAAAGAGTCAACAGTACCATCCAGGTAGAGGAGACCTAAGCCTTACAGACTTCCCGTGAATTCTGAGGAAAACACAAAGCAAAGGTTTTGGTCTTTTTTTTTTTTTCTTCAAAATGCTTAATCTCACCCTTTACAAATAAGTTGACAACAGCCAGCACCTAAGCACTTTGCTAAAATGGAGATTTATCAATGGTATTTTAAGAGTTAGTGCCAACAATGGGTCCCTCATTGCTGTTGTCCATCCCATTTTTTAGAATGAACTCACTTTTCTACTAGCACTTATCTACCTCCAAGATATTTTAGGGGGTCAGAGCCCTCCACACGGACGTGTGCCAAGCGCTCTGAGGCGTTAAGCTGCATCTCCCTGCCTCTCCAGGCCACTCTTGTTCTTTCTGAATGCTGGCCTTCAGACGCAGGCTGTGTGTTCAGTCTGTTCTGGTTTATACTAGGTGTCCATGGTTCCTTTCCCTCTCAGGGCCTCTCGATCACCCTTTGCCCCATCAGCATCCCCTGCTGTCCCAATGTTACATGGTGATTGTGCAGCACACGGGATGCCTAAGCTGACTTCACTCCCCACCACCTACAGCTGAAGGGGCCTGGGCTGTTTGGGTGCTGGGGTCACATGCGGTGTTGGGGGAAAGTGAGCCCCAAATAGAAATGTGCTGGAAACCAAGGTTCTTAGAAGTGTCCCTGCCGCTCACCAGACTGTGATTCAGTAGTCACCTCTGTCTTCTCTTTAGTAACATGGGAACATTGTTTTCTCCTTGCTCACCATTGCTGTGTGTATTGGATACACAGCAGGCACAGGTGTCTGGAGCCTGGGGTGCATTACAGATGTCCTGACACAGCCTTCCAACTGTCCTGTCATTATATCACATGCCAAGTTTGCCTGACAGTTCAAGGCTGTAGAGAGCCGCATGATGCCATACCTTACAGGTGGGGCTGATTCCCACCTTCCACCTTTCCAATGGTGAATGCTCTCAGGTGTGAACAACTCCACATATGGCTGACGTTAAAGATCTGGTTTAGGCTACCCAGAGGCTATTTAAGCTGTAGACTGGCTTTTCCCTGGGGTGAGAGGTTGAGAAAGGTAGCGGGAGGTTGAGAAGGAGCAAGAGGTAACAAGAGATAGTAAGAGGGTGAAAAGATCCTGAATAAAACCACAGTTAAGAAGAGTCTGGTGTTGCATTCTTCCTTGCTGGCGAGGTGGGCGCGACAATTGGTGCCGACACCCAGGAAACGTCAAGTGACGTACGGGGACACAACCTCTCATCTGGACTCAGAACTTGCTGTGGGCAGGGATAGTGCACTGAAAAAATTCCCAGGTAAAGGGGAAGTCCGTGTCAAGAGCGGGGGTTTAATGACCACAAGAGTGGTGTTAATGTGACTGCTACAAAAGCAGGGTTAGTGTAAATGTGTACAGATGTATGTTATATTGTTTGTGTTGGTTTTGTGTACTGGACAGGAGAAAGATATTTGAATTTAGGAACTCCTAAAAAAGGTATTTTGAATTTAAAATATGGGCCTAAGGATATGATGTTTTGGAAAAGAGGTTCTGTTTTCGTCTCCACAGAAAATGAGAGCCTAAGGATGTATTTGAGATTTATGTGGTTTGAATCACCGAGACCTCCTGAAATGTTGTAGAAAATACCCCTAAGAATGCAACATCCCTGTTCAGCAGGAAGTAGCCAGACAGACTGACAACGCCCAGATTCCCTAAAAGATTAAGGGAGGTCCTTCCAGTGGTTACAGAGCAGCAAGCCTGCTTCTCTGAGTTCCGCTTCACTCTGTGCACCAGTTTGGACTCAAAACGAATGCAGCTGTGGCTAGAAGGCAGCTGGAGCAGAGCTTTGCTAGGTGGCTGTGGTGAAAGGCACATTGCGCCAGCCCAGTCGGTGCCTAGCCTGGCAGGTGCCACAGCAGTGCCGAGAATAAGAGCAGTGCCACAAGCTGTCAAACCGGAAGACTTACAGTGTACCTGAAACTGTGAGGGGCTCTGAGGCTGGAGTGGCTCCGGTTCCACTTGGCTATGCTAAACTATGCTGACTTCAGGCAGGACTGGTCGTAATTATCATAATAAAAGCGCAGTTAAGGTTTAGACGCAGTAAACAGGCAGTACTGTATTACATCTACATAGTGCGACCTAAGTTTTTAAGAACTGCTTAGCATTTTAAGAACTCACGTCCTCCTGAAAGATTGCTGTATATACGCTTGGTTTATCTAATGTTTCAGGATCCACAGGGAGGTGGATGCAAAAAGCCCTTGGATTTTAAGGTGATTGGGTCATTGGCTAAATCTGTGAGAATTTACCGCCTCTTTTACGGTGGCACAGGTGTTGAGAGTTTGCTAATAAGGAAGTGGCCCTGTTCGCCGCCTCTCCCATCAGCCCCATGAGCTGCAGCGGCTCCGGCATGGACCTTGTGTTGCCGGCCTGTGCTGCCTTGGTCACCGGTCTGGCACCTCTGGTGTCGGCTCCCGCCACACTCCTCACCAACACAGCCGCGGAGAGCAAGGCTAACCCCGCGGGGAAGGCAGGGGGGCCTGGGGCTGGAGCCGTCACTACGGGCATGGGCTCCATAGCTGTGCAAGCCAGGGAACTGGCGGAGCAGTGCGGACTGGCCTCCCTGAAGGGGCAATGTCTAACGGGGTTTACGCCCTGCCGAGTGCGGCCAAGGGAAAAGTAAAGCCCGTAGTGTCCAGCAGGCCTCTGGTAGACTTCTTGATGCAGCTGGAGGATTGCACCCCTACGATCCCAGATGTAGTGACTGATTATTACCTGAACCATGCTATAAATTTGTCTAAGCAATTGTCTAGTTATCTTCTAGGTAATTGGACTGGAGAACTTGATGCTGTGATGGAACAGCTGAGGATGATCATCGTCACCGTGAACTCTACCCGAGTGGATGCAGGAATGACTGAAGGACTCTCGTCCTGGATCTCCACTGCCATGAAACATCTAAAGGAGTGGGCGGGCATGGAATGTTAGCAGACCTTTTGGTGTTAGTCTCCCTGGCTTGCCTGTGGTGTATATGCAAGATCAGGTTTTTTCAGTAACGCGGAGCAGCCATGATTATTAAAGCCGTTACAGCCATTGAAGCAGGACGGTCCCCCTACACGTTCAGGATGCAAGGTTACTTTTGCCTCTGTTGCATTTAAAACAAATAGGGGGAACTGTAGAGAGCCACGTGATGCCATGCCTTACAGGTGGGGCTGATTCCCACCTTCCACCTTTCCAACGGTGAATGCTCTCAGGTGTGAACAACTCCACATATGGCTGACGTTAAAGATCTGGTTTGCTTCAGCATTTCTGGACCTATCTGCGTCTGCCACGTGGCTTGCTGGGGTAGGCTACCCAGAGGCTATTTAAGCTGTAGACTGGCTTTTCCCTGGGGTGAGAGGTTGAGAAAGGTAGCGAGAGGTTGAGAAGGAGCAAGAGGTAACAAGAGATAGTAAGAGGGTGAAAAGATCCTGAATAAAACCACAGTTAAGAAGAGTCTGGTGTTGCGTTCTTCCTCGCTGGCGAGGTGAGCGTGACACAAGGCCTCTGCAAAACAAGTTTTCCTAAGGTTCGTGCATTTGCTAATATGACCGAAAAGCAATGTAAGCTAATGTTTTGTAGGTGAGCCAGAAAAGAAATGCAGGTTCCTCTTGGAGGGAGAGTAGGCTAGCTGAACTGCCTTTGCTATTTCGACAGTGTTTTCCTTAGCCTGTTTGTATAATAGATTATTTTCATTGAGGTTTCATAGTAGATAACTTATGTTTTGATCAAATCCATCCTTCATTTTCTCCTTCTTAGTTCCTCCCCACCCCTGTCACTTTTCCTCCCAACTTCATGTGTTTGTTCTGAATGAACTTCGTGCCACCTGGTTGTGCATGGGTAGAGGACAATGTACTGAAGCAGGGGTAGCCTTTTAGGAAACAATGCCCCAGAAGAGAGGTTCTCTCTCCTCCAGCAGCCTGCAGCCCCCAGTAGCTAGCTTCTCAGCGGTAGGCTTCATGCATCTCCCCTGCTCTGAGCCGGGATTTTGACTGCTGTGGTCCTGTGTGTGCAGTCATGGCTGCTGTGGTCCTGTGTG